CATGTTCTCTCACTTCAGCTGAGCCTTCACTGCTGTTCAGTAGGGTTTTCATTCATTCCTGATTGACTTGGTGTATTAACTGAAGTGACTGTTCTAAACTACTTCCACACTCCTCAGGGCCCCAGTCTTGGACCTTTCTTTTTCTATGGACTTCTCCTGATGATGACTTTTCTCTTGTTTGGCTTATAAAATTGAGGCCATCTAGAGGGGAGCTCTCTCTTCATCATCAATTCAGCAAACATTTTATCCTTCCTCTTCAGTTTATTTCATTTGAACAAACTTTTATTAAAGACTTGTGAAGTGGAGAACACTGTGCTAGCTAGACATTGGAGATATTACAGAGATTAAATGGGATGTCATTCCTGCCCTCATAAACTTCCAGTTCACTGAAGGATGGAAGAATATGACGTTCCCTTAAAAGATTTACTAGGCATGTAACTATGCAGGACAAAGAGGCAGCTATTTACATTAGAAAGAGTGAAATTTGTATTTAAAAATCTTTGCTCTGCCTTCTGTGATCTTGGGCAATCAGCCAGTCATATACGAGGCACTATGCCTTGTGGATACAAAGACAAAAAATAAACAGTACAACAGTCTCTACCCTTAAAGGCCTCAGTTTCCTTATAGGTAAAATATCATACTGGACTAGCAGCCAAAAGACACTGTAAGGTGTCTTTCAACTTAAACCTGTGATTCCATCATCCTGGACACTGAGGGGTGGCAAAGTGACGTTTAAATAAAATAGACTACCCGCTTATAGGGAAAATATGCTGTAAATAATGCATAGCACAAAATAATGCATATGTATATAAGGTATGTGGGAGCAAATAAAGCAGTATGTTAGTGCCAGTACAGGAGAACTAAGGAAGACTTCCTGGAGAAGAGAGCATTTAAGTGGAACTTTACACAGTAGATAAAAATTTAGTGGGCCCTAGTGAGGGAAGATGAGATTACAGGCATATGGTATATCATATATATCAAAGCAAATGGAAATGGGTGAGTAGGGATTATCTGAATTTATTAGGTAGTCAAGTTTCCATGTAATATAGGATATCAGAGATGGTTAGGAAGAGCACATGATAATATGGAAAAGATAGGATGGCACTAGGATATGGAAAGCTTTGAATGCCAACCTAATAAGTTTGAACTTTATTTAGTAGGGAGCCATTGAAGGATGCTAAATAGATGAACAAATTTACAGAAAGATGAGTCTGACAGGAGTTGTGAGTGGTCAAGGGGAGCAGGGCAAAGAAAGTGGAAATTGGTAGATCAGTTAGGATAACCCTGCAATATTCTCTGCGCGTGATGCTAATAAATTCTTATAGGGTGTGATACATTTAAAGGAGACATAGAAAATATTTTGGGGAAGGGTAAATAATGGAGCCATATTGTGAAGTATTTTAAATGCCAAACATAGGTGTGTGTATTTTGTTGTAGAGGTAATGGGGAGCCACTGGAGCTTCTTGAGCAGGTGAATGCTTCACCTGTGCTTTAGGAATATCAGTATGGTTGCTGTGTGCAATGTGGAATGGAGACAGGTGAGGCTGGAGTCAGGAAAACAAGTTAGGTGACTATTGCTTTGGGAGAGCTGAGAGATGATGAGTGCCCAAATGGGTTAGTGGCTAGGTGAGTATAGAGAAGGGAACATGTGAAAAATGTAAAGAAAATAGAATTGAAAAGATCTGGCAACTGACTAGGTGTGTTGGAAGTCATGAAGATCTGAAGATATAACTGAGGTTGTGATCCTGGATGACTTGACGGATGGTGGTGACCTTGGCAAAAATAGGGAAGTTTGGGAGAGGTTGAGTTTGAAACAGGAGGAATGAGTTCTTTTTTGAATATATCAACTTTGAGATACCTAGAAGACCTCCTTTTTAAAACCATACAGGTAAAATAATTAGGTGTTTAATTTTTTTTTTTCCAAAATAATGAAAACAGAAAGCTCATTCCCATTATCATTTTAGTTGAATCATTGGTAACACATCCCTGAATAAGTTTGCTGGATGTTGTTATTTCCTTTTTCAAGGAAAGTATCTTAGAATTAATGGCAACTGCTTTTAGTTATATGGAGTGTTCCATTGAATTTATTTTAATTTACTTTATTTTACTTCTTTTAACTTTAATTTACTTTATTTCATCTCATCTTGGACTTGTTATGAGAAAAATCACTTTTTTTCCCCCCAATAAAGAATTTCCTCAAAACTATTTGGGGGCTGCAGTTCACATTGACAATCCAAAGAAAAAAATTAAAGACTTTACCTGTGGAGGTGGTCCCCTTTACACTACAGATCCCACTGTGCCTCTGTGTTACACTTTGATGTTGAAAGATGGATATCGTACTGTGTGTAGATCTTCATTTTGACTGACCCTATCTTTTAGTTAACTTAGCATATTCTAATCCATTTGCTTTGAAAGTTTGGGCATTTGCAGGGAGAGGGAGGATAGAAAGGAGTACACGTGCCCATTACTGGTGGCATTTTTATAATCACGGCAGTTTTAATTTGATCATAATGTGTTAGCAGCCCTGGGACCTCAGAGATTGTTCTGACAGAGTGCAGACTCTGGTAGGCACTGCAGAAGTGGAAAGATGGTGAATATGAACTCAACCTATCATGGAACTGTTCCAGGAAATCAGGGAGGCTCATTCATTACCATATGATTGACCACCAGTTTACGAGTTTCTCAGCTAAAACAGCTCATGAAGACCATCTGCTAAAGTGAGGAAGTGCTACAATCTACATTGGCTGAGTGTGTACCCACTGTAGTGATATAATGAAATAATTTTATTGTTTGCAATGTTACAAAGCATGGAGGACTTCTGGAAGACCAAAGAAAGTCTTCTTTTCCTTTGGATACTTAATTTAACAAAACTGCCTTAAGTTTCTACTAAATAGAAATCATTGTGTTCAGCACTAAGAGAATCAGAAAATTTGAGTGCTGAAAAGTATTCATTAATTATTTAGAATGTTCTAGGCACTATGCTAAGTGCTGAGGATTTATCTACAAAAGAGACACAGTTCCTGTCTGGAAAGAGATTACATTCTAATGCTGAAGACTTTATGTACATATATATGTATATGTATATATACATATGTATGTATACATACAGTGTAGTGTTTGGTTTACTCATGTTGGAGCAAGAGGTAGAAATTGGACTTGGAGAGAAGGAGGAGTAAATGAATTGGGGGTAGCAAGGTGGAAAGTAACCAGGATAAAGGTGAAGATAAGGTTTCAGGAAGTGCAAATTCAAATGGCTTATTTCCTCCTGGGCATGGACTCTGGTGGTCAAATTTGGAGGATAGAACAGCAGCAGCAGCAAGAGCAACAGGACAGAAGGTGACCAGGGGAAGCTGAGGCAGTGTGGTCCTGAGTAGTACAGAGCTGAGTGCCTTAGCTCCTGGGAGGTATGGTCTCTGGTGGTGGTCTGGCTGGAAGAATGGACTGCCTAGAAAGACAAATGGTCCCAGGAAGTGAAGAGCTGAATTACTTATGTATAGTAACATGAATGTATAACCCTGTACATTGAATTGCAGGCAAGAATAATTTTCTTTCCCGTTCTTATTAATGTAGTCCTTTGCTGCTCCCACCTAAGCCTTTACGTCAGTAGAGAATTTTCCAAATTTTTTATCTTTAAAAGAATCATAGCCCAAGTAGTATTGGGGGGAGGGTGGGGCAGGAGGGAGAGAGTGAGTTTTTATCCCTAACCTTCTGCCTTACTTTTTTTTCTATACCTCTTCCCATTATTATCCACTTTTGTCTCCTTTTCTCATTATTTTCCTTCCCATTGAGTATTTTCTCATAGAAATATAGAAAAGGAGATATAGGAATAGGGTACTTTTAAGTAGCCTTATTCAATAGGAAGAGCATCCAGAATCAGGAAATATACTAGCATGGTTTATATCATATAATTTTCCAGGATACTTCCTTTGTTCTTCATCCCATTCCTAAGACTTCTCAGTTCTGCTTTCCTTTGGTGCCCATATTGATGATAATTCAAAACTAATTTAAACTATTTTGGCCAACAGTATTTTTCAATTGTCATAGGCAGAATCTTTCACCTTCAGAAATACTTAACAGTTACACCTAGGCTCAGACAAACTCAAGATGGTTTGAAGTTCATCTGTAATAGGAGACTGTGACCACCACTTCTGTATCATCCTGTATTGCTTTCATTAAACTAGGTATCCATTAAACTAGGGGACCAGTCCTGTGATTTCATTGGTTACAACCACAATCTTAAAAGGTCGAGAAGTGAGAAAAAAATACATGTAAGTGAGAAAATTACACACACACACACACACACACACACACACACACACACACACTCTCTCTCTCTCTCTCTCTCTCTCTCTCTCTCTCTCTCTCTCTCTCTCATTGGAAGTATCCCAAAGCCTCATTGAATTTTAAAGATGAAAGGGACCTTGTAGATAATCCTTTCCAACTCTTTTATTTCATAGATGAGGAGAATGAGCTATAAAGTAGTTAAGTGACTTACCCAAGGTCACAGCTAGTTAGTGGTAGAGCCAGACCAGAATCCAGATCTCCCAGTCCTCTACTCTTTCTCTTCCCACACATTGCCATCAAAATTCAATTTTATTTTGTTTTTAGACTGTCATAACGCTTGATTGCAGCACCAAAAGCCACTCTAGGCTTATCTTAATAGGCTATGGTTAATGTGGTGACATTAGGTTAGCATTCAGTGTTTTAGAACTTTAGTGAATTTATCCATCTTTAGTGAATTAAAGAATGCAAGTGAAGGGATGTATTGGAATTCAATACTTACTGAGTATTTTTGTTGTGTGAGGCAGTATGCTTAAATCCTTCAGTAGAAAGGACTGCTTGCTTATTTTAGAACTTTCCCAAGGGAAACACATGGGCCCAGTTTTGTACCCATGGAACACAAAGGCATGATACCTCTTAAGGATTTCTGGAAATCAGGACTTGGTATCTCCCTTGACAACATTATTTTTGGTTTTCATTTTTCTTTATTTTTTCCCTAGTATCGTCTAGACTGTCACAGCCATCTTCCCCCCAGTCAAGCTGTCCATCTCCCTCCATCTCAGCTGGTAAAGTCATCTCTCCATCCCAGAAGCACAGCAAGAAGGCACTGAAACAGGTAATCAGGCTAGAGTGTGCTCATCAGAAGTGTAGATCCACATTCAACACCATGTGTCTGTTTTCATTCACCCTGGGAAATAATTAGATACTTCAATCTGGCAAGGGTTGTGGGGTGGAGGGCAATAAATATACTGGGAAAATTTCAAATGACTTGTAAAAGCATTAAGATGAAAGCACAAAGAAAGATTTAAGGACTGTTATATGCAAGTGGATAAATAATGTACCATCTCTAAAAAATTCAATAACCATTTACATCACAGGTGCTTGGAATGATGTCTGCCAGGGATAAAGTACGGTTGACTTTCTAGTTAACCCAGAACGTCATTATTACAGTTTTTAGTTTGGTTTTTAAACCAAAACCCAAAAACACTGTTTACCTTTGTAAGGTTTATGAAGGCTTTGAAGAACTTCAAATAATTTCCAATATTCTCACATGGCAAAGCTCCTCCATCTTAGTCTATATCCATTGTCATTGATATGCCTTCTGTGCTGAATTATGAAATACAAATGCTTCTTTGAGGAGAAATGTAAGACCAGTTATTTTTCAAGGTTTGACAGTAAATTTGTAATGTGCATACTAATCATGCAAGCAGTTTTATGTAGAATTAGTTTGATGCTTTGACCATTTCTTTCAGAATAGAAATATGAATGGGAATGTTAGTACTTTCAAGAAAATTTTGCTATCTTTCAGGTTTCTTTCAGTGATAAGATTTTAATCTTTAAGAATTGCAATACAGTTAATTTGTGGATTTGGAGTTTTTCAAGTCAGAGAAAAAGGAGTTGATTGGAATTTTTGTTTAAGAGAACTTTGAAGCTCTTCTGACTCTATACTTAGGCCGTTACGTGACCATAGCAGAATGTAGTGGCATAGAAACATTTGATTCACTTGCCATGGTTGGTCTGTGTCGCACACTGAGCAATAAGTTTCTTGTCAGTCTTCAAATCTTAGAATATTTTTCAGCATGTTAAAAAAGAAATGAGAAAAGCAGAACTGAACAAGTGGTAAAACTATTTTAATGCAAATATTTATTGAGTGCCTATTATGTGCAATACACTAGATACAAAGATGAAACAAGATGATCTCTGTCCATACAGAGCAACTTCAACTTTCCATGGTTCATTTCATTACCCTGCCTCACCTTTTTCTTATCCCAAAGTCTTCTTTTCCAGGTAAATCTAAATGAGATCTGAGACTGACTTTCAGGCTTACTTTTCTCAGCAGGCATCTAAGAACAGGGAGATCAGGTTCTCTGGCCCTTACATCCTCTATGACAGGAGAACAACCAAGGGTAGGTTTTATGTGAGATCAGAAGCCTGTTCTGAAGTGAGAATTTGGAAGCCTGAGCTAGCCTACTTTATGTATCTTTAGCCTAATGCACTTTGGGGAGTAAAACTTAAGTTTGTCAACTTAGGAAAGCCAAAGTATAGAGTCTTAATATTCCCTTTTTGACTAAATGGAAGTAAGACTTTCCTACTTTATTTGAGCTTCTACACTTTTAATTCTTTTTATTTACTTTTTATTTTTTTATTTTTAGGCAATTAGGGTTAAGTAACTTGCCAAGGGTCACACAGCTAGTAAGTGTCAAATGTTTGGTCAGAAGTCGGATTTGAACTCAGGTCCTCCCTGACTCCAGGACTGGTGCTGTATCCACTGCACCACCTAACTGCCCCGCTTCTATGCTTTTAAACTAGAAGTTTGTTCTTTAGGTAGCAATTATGAGAGTTTTTAGAGATCTTTTAGTTTTTTGCTTTTGTGGTTTTTTGGATTATAGTACATTAAAAGTTCTGTAGACTGGGAATACTGGAAAAGTAAGCAGATACTCTGGAACAACCATAGGGAGCAAACCAGGGTGAGTATAAGTCAATCAGCTTTCTTCAGTACCCATGTGAAAATCTGTTTAGGAAAAAACTTAAGAGGTCTTCTGGTATAACTAACTGAGAATCCCTTCCATTGCTATAGAAGTGCTTGACCCCTTCAAGTGTTTGGAGAACTCTACTGAGGGGAGCCTAGCAACCTTGTGAACAACTGTTCTAGATTACCAATGATAGGAGCAATTCGAGCTAAAGCAACTCGGAGGTTTGACCTAATACGCTCTGATAATGAAAGACGGAACTGTTGTTAAAGGCCTTGGCTTTGGGAAGACAGGCACTCTGATGTTCTTCTGGTAGAATGTGAATCACTGTAACCATTCTCTCAAAAAACTAGAGTTAGGTAAGAGCTGTCACTAAACATTTCATATGCTTTGACCCATTGCTTGATCAGAATTCTTAAGTGTTTCAAAGTTCTTTTCCTTTATAATATCATAGTCATATAAATTAATCTTCTGGTTCTATTCACTTTTCTTCGCATCACTTCATACAAGCCCTCCCAGGTTTCTCTGATTCAATTTTCATATTTTTGTAGCCCAGTAATATTCCATTACATTCATGTACAGTAATTTATTAAATTATTGTCCTTTGTTTCCAGTTTTTTGCTACAACAAAAAATGCTTCTTTAAATATTTTTGTACATATGGATCCTTTCCCTATTTCTTTGATTCTCCACAAGTTTTTAAAGATTCAAACATTGTTGGAACTAGAAGAGGCATTAGAGCCCATCTAGTCCAACTCTCTCATTTTATAGATGAAAAAAACTGAGCTCCTTAGAGGTTCAGTGTCCAGATGATAGAGCTGTAACTTAAACTGAGGTCATCTGACTGCTCTCCTGTGTCTTTTCTGCTGTTGCTTTCTCTTGCTGTTAATGACTCAGAAATCCCATCTGTCAATATTTTCAATATCTGGAACAGAGCTTATCTTGACCAGGTTATTTGAATTCAAGGGCAGCTAACTCTCTTGGAGTTTCCCTACTTATAATGAGTTTTAGTTCCCTTTTAGCCAGTTTTTTCCTGTCCTTTCCAAGTCAAAGAAACAAAAGAAGAGCTAAGATAATTTCCATTGTCATCGTTCCCTCTGTCCTGAGCAGTTGTATTGCTTCTTTGAACTACCTCTTCTCACCAACACATCTAACCCCTCTCTATTGCCCCCAAAATAAACAACCTCTTTGTTCTTAGCATTTCTTTCCTGTTTCATGTCATTCTATTCTTAAGCTATTCTAATGCTACTTTTAGGAGATTATTCTATGTTTCTATAGTCATTTGTTTCCTATCTTTCATTTCTCTGTGTTTTAAGAAATCTTAAGTTGGGGCAGCTAGATGCACCGGCCTTGGAGTCAGGAGGACCTGAGTTCAAAGCTGGCCTCAAACATATAACACTCATTAGCTGTGTGACTTTGGACAAGTCACTTAACCCCAATTGCCTCACCATAGAAAAAGAAAGAAAGAAAGAAAGAAAGAAAGATATCTAAGTTGGGGACTTCACATTCATCTAGTCAAAAAGCATTTATTAAGGACCTCCTATATGCCAGGCATTGTGATAAGTGACGAGGATTCAAAGAAAGGCAGAAAACAGCCCCTGATCTCAAGGAGCTTGTTTAGCTAGCTCCATACAGAGCAACTTCAACTTTCTCCATAGAATTGTTTATCTTTATAATTTCGTTCTTGATTGTTTCCCATCCTTCCTATACTTCCGTGTAAAAGGTAAGTCCAGAGGATTCTTACCTTTCTCTCCTTGAACATCCCAATACCTAAGGTGCACATCAGACCATATTCAACTTACTTCCTCTAGGAGATGACAGGCTTGCCCTGGCTCCTGAGAGATTATGTGACTTCTAGTCACACAGTCATTATATGTAAGAGATATTGCTTGTTTTCAGCTTTTCTTGACTTTGAGGCCAATTCACTATCTGTTACCCTTTGGCTACCTCTCTGTTTTCATTTATCTTCATCTCAATGCTCGCTCTTCCCCATGCTGGTTTCCTGGATTTCTCCACATCAGTATATCTTCTTAACGTACAATTCTACTCTTCTCCATTAACCAACCTCTCTCCCTCCCTTTTTAATCTATCCTTTTTCTGTTGATGAAGTATATACACTTACACTTTTGTATTACAATCATGTGCAATACCATCCCAAGTCATAGTGATGCTTCTGAGGTCAAATTTACCTACTTTCCTTAGGATTTCTAGTTCATCTTGATTGTTGCAAATAGCTTGTACTTTGTTTATATACATCTGAGGTCTTAGTTTTTATTGTCGGCATCTTCCTAGGAGATTGTCTCCTGTGAAATTCATAGAGTATTGACATATATTTAGCACTGGAAAGGACCTCAGAGGTTAACTAGTCTAATCTCCACATTTTGCACATAAGGATACTGAGGCCTAAAGAGAGAACTTAAGTTGCCCACAGTACCACAGATTTGAACCCAGGTCTTCTGACTCTACTTCCATTGTTCTTTGTACTGTATTTGACTGCCTTTCTGAATTTTTATACCATTCTTATGGACTAGCTAGAAAGGTATGAGTCAATGATAGCATAAATATGTTATAGATGTTTGCATGATAGGACCCATACACAGAGAAGTCATTACTGTATTGATGTCAGCTTACAGAGCTGTCTTTAATAGGATGGGTCTTTGACCTTGTGCCATTTAATTGTTATTAATATCTTTGATAAATGATTTGCATATGGTACAAAACTGGGAATGATAGCTAACTTATTGGGGATAGAGGATAAGATCCAAAAAGATTTTGACTGACTAGAATATAGCCCAAATTAAATAAGGTGGAATTTTTGGATATGTACAGTTCTTTCTGTGTAATAGCTACCCTCTATAGTAAGAGTTCTTTAACCTGCAGTCCTTAAACATTTTAAAAAATGTTTTTATGGCTGTATTTTGGCATAATTGGTTTTCTTTGTAAAATCTTGTGTATTTTATGTGTTTAAAAAAATTTATTCTGAGAAAAAGATTCTATAGGCTTCACCAGGCTATCAAAGAAATCTGTGATAATAAGGGTAAGAATCCCTCCTTTGTAACATTTCGCATGTGCATATGTGTATGAGTTGTCTGTGTATACATATAAAAATAGACATAACTGTTTAGGCAAGTACTACTATACTACATTTTTACCAGCCTTTGGACACGCCCATTATTCCTCTATTTTAAACTATAATTCAGGAATAGAAATCCCATTGTGAGAACTTCTCTTTTTAACTCTCTGTTCACTTTGCAAATCTTCCTCTTCTCTCCTCACATCTTCTCCTTCATTCCCTTTAATGGTGTTTATTTTCAAACCATTGGGTTACATCTCAAACATTCTCTCAAATTGTTTGTAGCTTTATCTCTTGAGTATCTTCAAACTAGAGACTTTTCTATATTAATTTGCCTCTATACTTTATAAACAGTGTTCAAATAGTTTTCTTCGTAAAGCATATTGGAAGTTCAGATTCTTTTTTTAATTCTAGCTTTGCTATTCATACAGGTAAATTTGGGATAGGAAACTTATCTGAATCCAACTTTCTATTATATTGCCTGTTGTTCATATTTCTAAAAACCAAAAATGTTAATATTGATGAAGAACTTGGCATTTCAGGGATAAAATGAGATTTTGTATGTGAAAGTGCATTGAAATTGGATCACCATAGGGGCATAACTTGTTTATTTCATGATCCATAGATGTATGCTAAAATATTTGTTGAGTGAGTAATAGTTTCTTAGCTTTAAAACATAGTTATATTTTGTGTTCTAGTTTCCCTTCATCTCTGGAAACTTGCATTCACTTTATAATTAAGTGATGTTCTCTTTATAGGCTTTAAAACAGCAGCAGCAAAAGAAACAGCAGCAGCAACAGCAGCAGCAACAATGTCGAACAAGCATGCCCATATCCTCTAATCAGCATCTTCTGCTGAAGACAGTCAAAGCAGCCAGTGACCCTGTCCCCACTAAACCTGGTAAGCAGACTAACATCATCATCTTCAGGGGACAGAGTCTTTGTACCTTTTCTTCATGTTACAGTGCCATTTTTCATGTGCTGAGCCAAATTTTTCTTATTTATATTGATATATAATAAATCCCTTACTACCTTCTCCTCTTATTCCCTCTTCAGTTCCTCTTCTGTGCCGCCACGTCCATACAACATAACCTCTATAGAAATCAAATGAGAAGAAAAGTATATGGAGAAAACTCTTAGGTGTTAAACCTTGAAAAAAACTTAGGGAGGTACCAAAGAAATTTGCACAGAATGATTCAATTAATGCTGTTCTAATAATATATTGGAATCATCTATTTAGTAGGCCTAGGAAGTGACTACCTTCACAAAGATTGTTCATTTTTGTTTTATATACATTTACTTTTGAGGTTAGGCTCAGGCCTGATTGAAATTAAGCCACTTTTATCTTGTACTCTTTGATTTAGTTCCATTTTTGTTCAAGCTGACAGTTAAAAAAAAACAAAACAATAATAATTTTTCTTCTAACAAATTCTGCTATTGCATTCCCACAGGGAGATATGCTCAAGTCTTTTGGGCAATCAAAATAAAAACCTGCTGTGTGTAGAAATTTTCTTTTCCCCTATAAAGTCCAGTTTGCTACTAATCATTAGGCTGATTATATGGGCTAACCAAGCTTGCTTCTGATGTTTTAGGAATCTTAACTGTAATGTGCAAGAAAGTATGTATATAATAAACAGTGTTGTCATGGCAACCCCAGAGAGTGGAGTGCCTAAATCACAATGTCTTCTTCATAGACAATTAGTATTTGTTTACTAATTTATTGAAATATGGTCACTGGTTTCCCCATCTCTTCAGTGTGACTTTTATTTAAGTCTCTTTCTTTTTCCAGCTGTGTGGGAAGGAAAGCAGTCAGATGGACAGTCAAGCAGTCCCCATAATTCAAACTCTAGTTCTTCTTCTTCAGTTAAAGTTGAAAACCCCTTGCCAGGTTTGGGGAAGAAACCATTCCAGAGATCTGACAGGCTTCATACAAGTGAGTTCTTTCATATTATAGGTTTTGTTGATACTGACATTGTAACTAAAGGCTGAGTGGAATGTAGCCAACAAAACTCTTAGTTATTATATTTCATCATCTTATCAACCAGATTATTCCATGAGATCCTCAAAAGACAAGATATGTACTTTTTTATCATTCTGTTTTTCTCTAAGCTTCATTCATAACTCCTATGAAAAATAGAAATGCGTGATTATCATTATTATTATTATTATTTTTTAATTTGCAAGGTCCATGATGAATTTTATCAGTCACTGTAATCTTTACTGAATTTTCACAGTCTTCTGCTTATTTATCAATTTTTTTTTCTGGATAGGATTCTAAAATTTAATAAAATTTGCCTTTCAGTTATGTACAAAAATCCATATTCACACTTTATTTGAATGTAACCTTTTTCGTCTTTAGTGATTACATGGTATGTTGTTTATGAGAGCATGAGAGATGGAATATATATGAAAAGACTTTCTGTAAATTTTATATATAAGTGTATAGATATTTGATGACTTTTTGTACTAGGATTAGGGACATGTGCCCTGTAATTATTTGGTTAAGGATTTGGAACTTTGGAAATTAAGTAAATAAGAGTAGGAAAAAGTAAAGTCTTTATAATGTGAATGAAAGACATCGTCAGCTACTTGTGCTGTACCAGATAGTCTGCTTGTAGGGGCTTCTACTCTTTAGGAGATGATTGTATTGTGAGGGGTGTGGTAGAAAGGAAAAAGATGCTGGCTTTAGCATTGAATGACCTGTAAAATCACTCACTGCTCTGTCTTGCCAGCTTTGTGAGCATGGGTAAGTTATTTATCCTTTCAAGGGCCTCTTCTGTTAATAAAGAGATAAAACTTGTCTTACTTAACTCCTAGGGTAATTATGAAGAAAGGGCTTTGTGAATAACATTGCATATGAATATTAATCAGAGCAGGAGATTCCAAGTACCTTAAGGCTAATAAGAAAATGGAAAAGAACCAGAATAAAATGTTTTCTATTTACAGATTTATTGTTCATATTCCTTGTAACATTTTTTTCAGGGCAACTGAAAAGGACTAAATGTGCTGAAATTGATGTTGAAACACCTGATTCTATCCTGGTTAACACCAATCTGAGGGCTCTAATTAACAAACACACATTTTCAGTCCTTCCTGGGGACTGCCAGCAGCGACTTTTGCTTTTGCTTCCAGAGGTGGACCGGCAGGTGAGTGAAGTGAGCTTAAAATTTCTCTTCCTTTTCTGTGGCTATTCTCCACAAACTCCTTCAAAGTCTTGATGGAATTCTTTCTGTAGCTTTTGATGTAACTCAGTCGTAGGAAGGCAGTGAGGTGCAGTCAGACTGGGAGGCCTGGGACCCGAGTTCAATTCCCAGCTCTCGCTACTCAGGTGACCTTGGGCGAGTCACCACAACTCTGAATCTAAACTTCTTGATCTATAAAATGACAGTATTGGGCTAGAAGAATTCCAGCACTAGGTTTATAGTCCTATGAATTTAACAGGCTCTTCTTAATTTCCCTGTATTAGCAACTTGTAACCAGACAAACAGTGAAATTGTTTCTAACCTTCTAGGAATTTCTAGTCTACTGACAGGGTACGTTGTTCTGACAAGTACAAATAAATATTGTTAGGAGAGAAAGAACACTCAGCATTATACCGAGCCAGGCCTCAGCTTTGGATCACTCCCACTATTCATCACCTTTCGCTGTCCTGTACACGTGCTGCTGAACAAAGGAGGAGAAAATCACACAACTGTTCTGACCAGGTCTACTACAGATTTATGCTATACGTCCTCAACTGGGCCCTTGCTGCTGCTGGACAATCCTTCTGCCTCTTTTATCAGCTCACTATCCCACTCTCCACAGTGGCTCTTCCAAACCTTTTCATCTTCTCAAACTTCACTGACTTTCATTTCTCCTACTCTTTCAGCTGAGAACCTTGCCTTGTATTTTACAGAAAAAATTGAGGCTGTTTTCTATGAACTCCTTCTTTTCCTCTCTTCACCTATCCCTCAGGTGCCTTCTGCCACTCTTTTCTTTCATCCCTGTCTCACACGATGAAGTGGCCTTACTTCTTATCATGTCTAACCGTCACCTACTTGTTCGTGTGATCTCATTCTATCCCATCTCTTCCAATAGATTGCTCCCTTTGTCATCACACTCTCACCTATTTTCAATCTCTCTCTGTCTGCTGGCTCATTTCCTACTGACTACAAACATATCCCTGTCTCCCCCTCCTGAAAAAACTTTTACTTGATCCTTCCATCACTACTATCATCCTAAATCTCTTCTGTCTTTTGTAGCTATGCTACTTACGGTAGATGCATCCACTTTCTGCTTTCTCTTGGTTTTCCTCCTGCCTGACTGCTCCTTCTCAGTCTCCTTTGCTGGATCCTTTTTCAGATCACACCCTCTATCTGTAGGTGTCCCTCAGTGTTGTGTCCTGAATCCTCTTCTCTTCTACTTCTATAATACTTGGTGATCTCATCAGCTCCCATGGATTTAATTACCATTTCTATGCTAATAATTCTTTTTTTTTTTAATTCTTTTTATTAATTTCATTAAATATTTCCCTATTACACATAAATTTTTTTTTAATAATCATTTTTAAAATTTTGAGTTCCAAATGCTGTCCTTCTCCTCACCTCTAATTGAGAGGGCAAGTAATTTGATAAAGATTATACGTATGCGGTCATGTAAAACATTTATTTCCACATTAGTCATGTTGCAAAATAAAACAGACCAAAAAACCAAGAATAATGAAGATAGTGATTTAAGTATTCTGTTTCTTCTTCTGTTTATCTGGGCAGTTTATATTTTTGTAAATATTCATGTATTTCACTTACATTGTCAGTTTTACTGGCTTATAATTGGGCAAAATAACGCCTAATAATTGCTTTAATTTCATCTTCATTGGTGGTGCGTTCACTTATTTTATTTTTGAAACAGGTAATTAGGTTTTTTTTTTTTAATCAAATTAACCAATGGTTTATTTATTTTAATCTCCCCCTCCCAATAGCTCCTAGTTTTATTAGTGCAATGATGTTTGGGTTTTTTTTGTTTTTTGTTTTTACTTTCAATTTTATTAATCTCTTTGATTTTTCAGGATTTCTATTTTGATGTTTAATTGAGGATTTCTAATTTATTGGTTTTTGGTTTTGTTTTAGTTGCATGTCCATTGCATTGATTGATCTGTTCTTTTTCTCTTTTATTGATATATGCATTTAGAAATATAAATTTTCCCCTAAGTGCTGCTTTGACTGCATCCCATAAATTTTGGAATGTTGTCTCATTGTTATCATTCTCTTTAATGAAATTATTGATTGTTTCTATGATTTATTCTTTGACCCACTCATTCTTTAGGATTAGTTTATTTAGTTTCCAATTAACTTTTAATCTGTGTTTCCAAGGCCCTTTTTATTAAATGTAATTTTTATTGCAATATGGTCAGAAAGGGGTCCATTTAATATTTCTGCTTTTCTGCATTTGGTTGTGAGGTTTTTATGCTCTAATATGTAGTTATTTTGTTAGGAACATGCCATGTACAGCTGAAAAAAAGATATTCTTTTCTATTCCCATTAAATTTTCTCTAAAGGTCTATCATATGTAACTTTTCTAAGATTCTGTTCATTTCCTTAACTTCTTATTAATTCTGTTTAGATTTATCTAACTCTGAAAGGAAATTTCCTTTACTGTCCGTTTCCTTTAAGAATTTGGCTGCTATGCCATTTGGTGCATTTATGTTTAATATTGATATTACTTCATTGTTTATGGTGCCTTTTAGCAAAATGTAGTTTCCCTGATTATCCCTTTTATTTAGGTGTATTTTTGTTTTTGCTTTATCTGAGATCATTATTGCTACCCTTGCCTTTTTTACTTCAGCTAAAGCATAATAGATTCTGTTCAGCACCTTCCTTTCACTCTGTGTGTGTCTCTTTGTTTCAAGTATGTTTCTTGTAAACAACATTGTTGGATTCTAGTTTCTAATTCATTCTGCTGTTTGTTTCTGTTTTATGGGTGAGCTCCTCCCATTCACATTCACAGCTATGATAACTTAATGTGCATTTTCTTCCATCCTGTGTTCTTCTACTTATCCTCTCTTTCTCTCTCCAATTTAGATGTGAGGGAGGTACCATTTCCCCATCAACTATGAAAGTTCTTCCTTGCATATCTCTTTTATGTGAAGTAATTTTCCCTATTTTTCCTCTCTCTTCTCCTTCTCCCAGCATCTCTTTCTTGCTTATTTTTTCTTATATCATCCCGACATAATAGACTTACTCCTGCACCCTCTTTCTATGTCAAATCCTTCTAACTGCCCTAATAATGATAAAGTTCTTAGAAGATATATGTTTCATTTTCCCATATTGAAAGGTAAACAGTTTAACCTTAGTGAGTTCCTTGGATTTCACTTTCATGTTTACCTTTTTATGTTTCTCTTGATTCTTATATTTGAAAGTCATGTTTTCTATTCAGTTCCAGTCTTTTCATCAGGAATGCTTGAAAGCTCTCTATTTAATGAAATTAAATTAAAGGATTATACTCAGTTTTGCTGGGTAGGTTATTCTTGGTTGTAATCATAGCTCCTTTGCGTTCTGGAATATTATATTCTAAGCCCTCCACTCCTTTAATGTGGTAGCTGCTAGATCTTATATGATCCTGACTATGGCTTCATGGTAATTTGAATGGTTGCTTTCGGGTTACTTGCAATGTTTTCTCTTTGACCTAGGAGCTATGGAATTTGGCTGTGCTATTCCTGGGAGTTTTTATTTTGGCATCTCTTTTCAGGTGGTGATTAATAGATTCTTTTGGTTTTTGTTTTACCCATCTGAGATATCAGGGCCAATTTTCCTTTATAATTTCTTCAGATATGATATCTAGGCTCTTTCTTTTATCATGGCTTTCAAGTAGCCTTAATAATTATTAAATTTATCTCTCCTCAACCTATTTTCTGTGTCAGTTGATTGTTTTATTGCTTCTTGATGTCTCATGTCGTCATTAACTTCCACTTCTCCCATTTCTAATTCTTAAGGAATCATTTTCTTCAGTGAGCTTTTGTACTTCTTTTTCCATTTGGCCAATTTGCTTTTTTAATGTATTATTTTTTTCAGTACTTTCTGTGCCTTTTTTTTTTTTTTTACCAAGCTGTTAATTGTCTTTTCATAATTTTCTTTCTTTGCTCTCATTTCTTTACCTAACTTTTCCTTTACCACTTTTATTTGATTTTGGAGAAAATTTTTCAGCTCTTCTAGGAATTTGGGTTTGGGCTTGTGTCCAATTCACATTTTTTTCCTTTGAGGCTTTGCTTAGAGCTGTTTGATATAGTTGTCTTCTGAGTTTGTGTCTTGATCTTCCCTTTCATCACTTTTTGTGGTCAGGTTCTTCTTTGTTGTTTGCTCATTTTCCCACCATATTTTTTGATTTAGAACTTTATGTTAATGCTATAATTGGCGTGGGGATTAGGGGAGTGAGCCTTTGTTTCAGACTTCAGGCTTTTACACAATGCTGTTTTCAGAGCTAGTTCTGGGAATTTGGAAGTTTTTGGTAGATTTGATAGATTGTTTCAATTTTTGTTTCCACCGAAGATTTCAGGGCAGTTTTCTTTATAATTTCTTCAGATATGATATCTAGGCTGTCTTTCATCTTGGCTTTCAGGTAGCCTAATAATTCTTAAATTTATCTCTCCTCAGTCTATTTTTTGTGTCAGTTGATTGTTTTATTGTTTCTTGATGTCTCATGGAGTCATTAACTTCCACTTTCCCCAATTTTAATTTTTAAGGAATTATTTTCTTCAGTGAGCTTTTGTACCTCTTTTTCCATTTGGCCAATTTGCTTTTTTAATGTATTCTTTTGATTTGAGGTGGTTTGATCTGGGCAGAAGTGTGGTCACTGCTGTTTTATTTTCAATCTGCTCCTTACCCTGGAATGGCCCCATTCCTTGTAATTGCAATTGATATTTCTCCTCTGGGCCCCTCCTTCCTTAGGAGACAAAACAATACTGACCCTGACCTTTTGGGCCTAGAACTGGTACTGCCCCTCCAGTCTTCTACTGTCTCTTGCCTGAAAGTGCTCCTCTCTGTCCTTGGACTATGACCCAGCAGTGGGTATAGGCAGTGTAGTTGCCAGACAGATTCTGGTTCTGCCTCCAGTACTAGTACGTGGGTCCTGTCCCCTGTAAACTCTCTCTTTCCAGTTGCCAGGTCCCCTTACC